ATTAATGTAAATAACTCTTGGACAGCTTAAGGGGATCAATAAAACTAGCATTCATCACACATAAATGTAAGCAAAGGTCACATGTCCATAAAGCTCCAAAGGCACCTGGGTTAATGCTTAGAGTATAAAAGAGACAGAGTAAAAAAAAACAGGTGGACATACAGAAAGAAAATATATGAAATTTCAAAAGCCTCATTATTAATTAAAGAACAACATCTCTGCTATGTATTTTAAGAGAGAAGCAATGATTGTAATTATCGTACAGACAGTAATAAAAACTTGTATATTCGAGGAGTAAGACAGGGAATTACTTATCTTCGCACGACTTTCTACAAATCTTTTCTTTATTTACATTGATACTAACAAAACTGTCCTTACTAGTAGACTAAATTATCAACCAAGTTGTGTCTCAAAAAAAATAACAAATGAAGAGAGCCATGCAGAAAAACAAAAGAGAAGCTGAATACACAAAGACTGGGCTTCTCATGGTTTTGGTTTCGATGAACAAGAAACAATTAAAATGTTCTGCAGATGAAACAGGAGACAAGAAGGCCTCTTTAAGAAGAAGAAATCATGGTTTATTAAGAAAAACCTCAAACTAAAATTTTGAAAAATACGAGAGAGGAAATTGATTATACACGTACTTACAAAACACAATCCTGATCCAAGTAGTCCTCCACTACAGTATAGAACAGGGACAAGATATACACGTATCATGCTATGACAAGCTGTTAAACCAACAGATGTTGAAGGTATAGAGCATGAGAACGGGATTAAGCCAATGGATGCTGAAGGTAAAAGGCACAGAATAAAAATTCAGGTAACAGATGTTGAAAACAGAAGGCACAAGAAAGTGACTTAGCTATCAAATGCTGAAAATAGAAAAGAAAGTGATTTAACCAACAGATGCTAAAAATAGAGAGCACAAGAAAGTGACTTAACCAACAGATGCTAAAAATAGAGGGCACAAGAAAGTGACTTAACCAACAGATGCTAAAAATAGAGAGCACAAGAAAGTGACTTAACCAACAGATGTTAAAAATAAAGGGAACAAGAAAGTGATTTAACCAACAGATGTTAAAAATAGAGGGTACAAGAAAGGGATTTAACCAACAGATGCTAAAAATAGACGGCATAAGAGAGTGATTTAGCTATCAAATGCTGAGGATAGAGGGCACAAGAAAGTGATTTAACCAACAGATGTTAAAAATAAAGGGCACAAGAAAGACTTAGCTATGTAATGCTGAAAATAGACAAGAAAGTGACTTAGCTATCAAATGCTGAAAATAGAGGGCATAAGAAAGTGACTTGGTTATCAAATGCTGAAAATAGACAAGAAAGTGATTTAACCAACAGATTATAAAAATAGAGGGCACAAGAGAGTGACTTAGCTATCAAATGCTGAGGGCACAAGAAACTTATTTAACCAGAAAGTTCCAAGAGTAGAAGGCATGAAAAAATTGATTTAAGCACACACACACAAGAATCCTACTAATGACAGTGGTGGGAGAATCAAAATCTTGTTAAATGAAAGGAAATAGTACTGAAGATGAAGAACGATTGAAAGCTAAGCTTTATTTGTTTCTTAAGGCCCTATTAATATTTTTCTTAATTTTTTTTTTACAAATATGCTAATTAATTTTTTTAACATAATACTTAAGTTGAATAAATTGGCCTAGTTTACCAATTATATACTAGGCTGTTTATGTTACGCTGGGTTTGCATTTGTTTACACCAGTATTATAGTGTCGAGTAGCGATGAGAAATCTTGATCTCCACTGCTTTATACTCAAAGTGTAATACCCTCTTATTTACATTGCGAACTTGGAGTAAAAAAAATCTTATAATAATAATAACAAATAATTAAATATAGTAAAATAAAACAACAAATATGTGAAAAATAGAAGTAGGTTTCAGCAGACCTATGCCTCCCTGTGTTTGGTGGTTTGAAATTGGAGGCTGGAGCTACAGTACCTGTAACAATAAATTTCCTGTGACAGGCCTCTATAATTGGATGGAGAAAAACGTGCTTTGACCAGTGCTAGAAACTTTTTCAGGGTAATGGTGTCTTGCTGTAAACAGTTTTACACTTTTATTGCCACTTTTGGCATTTTTGTACTTCTCTACAAGTCATGGGTTCATCTTGTGAGGTCAAAGTTCAGAGGTGAGCTGTTACCCTTTCTTCATCTTTCATGGATTATTAAACATTGCTGTTATTTCCCAAGTGCCTTCCACGGTTTTGAAAATAGTGAGATAAAATAATTTGATTTCCAAAGGTACTTTGAAATGAATAAATATTTGGGGGGGAGGCTTCCTCCCTTGGAAAAATTTTGGAAATTACATGTAAAATGATGTAATTTGGGGCCTTTTTATCACAGCTGTCATAAAACAATATTTTCAGTTAAATTGAATGTATGGAAAAGGAATTAAATAGAGAGCAATGACTTCAGTGCCATCGATCTAGGTTTTAGTGTTTCTAAACTTTCCCGTATTTAATACTACAAAGAAATAACTCTTTTTAAAACGATTTCTGAAGGAGTATATTGTCCATTTTCCTTAACTGGTTATTGTTACAGTAGTAGAAAACAAATTTATGTTTTCAGTTCATTTCGAAAGTTCCACCATACTTAAATAAAATACTAAAATAAATAAATGACCAAGCAGTTGTAAAATTATATTTTTATAGATAAATTAAAACATAACAAACACATAGATTTTTAAAGATAGCATCAATTTTTAAAAACATTTAGCAAGACTACAAAATAAAAAGTACAAAAAATTTATGATCATTTCCTTTTGGCCAAGAGAATGTTAAATGTATTCCCTTGCAGAAACAGTAAATAAGCAAATGAAAGTATCACAAAATGGAATTACTGAAGGTAGTTAACTCTGAACAGATAGTAGCTAATATTCTAACGAGTATACACAATAACTAGTTAAGTCACCTGCTGACACACACACACACATTTAATCAGATGCATCTAATGCTAATTGAAGAACCACTCTTGCTGCGATACTGCACTCACTTGATAAAAATCTGTTCTAATCAGGTATAATTATCTACATGAAATTTACTCCTATGACATTATATTATTTTAAATATGCGTATATTAACTTTTGACAGATAATGGCTATGATTCTTGCAGTTACACACACACACACACACACAAAATAAGTTCACATCATCATCAGTAAAGTAAAAACAAAACAAAACTGAAGCATAACTTGATAATCAACTTCAAGTTAACATTCCTCAAGTCAAGGTACATTTCCTATTTTATCACTGTATGTTAAATGTTAAGTTATAGCCTATAGTGTCAAGAAAGATACTTTCACATTCTGGTATTAAACCAAACATTTTGTATTATTAGTTGCAAGAAAAGATGTATGGCACACAACAGTTGATATATTATTATTTTTTAATTTTATTCACTTTGATATGATAAATGGGGAGGGAGTAGTTACAACTAGTCTAAGATACCCCTAAAACCATAACAAAGATTTAAGCATAAAAGTAAACTCCCCCAAACTACTCCAGACTTACGTGTTTAACTGCAGATTCGTGTTTCATTAGAGTTCAACTTTCAAGTACAATGTTACATTATAAACATGTAACTCATTAACTTCTAGTTCTATATCATATACATGTTACAGTATCAGTCTACTATCGATCTACATGCATCAGACCAAACATCAGTTAATAAGCACAGACCTAACAACTTTTATACCAGTAAATTAGACCTTTTAATTTTAAAACTTACCAAAATAGGCAATTGATCAAAACCAAAGTAATGGCACTCAGATAAGGTCTCTCCCATATTAACAGTTTTCGTACAGAAAATAAGCTTATTTGAAATAAGCTAAGGCCATTGAAAAGATAAGAAATTAAGCCTTCAATAAAAGCATTCATTTTTATTAACTTCTTTTAATTAACAATCTGGAAAAACATTACTCTCTACCTCATCGGCTATCTTTCTATACACGAACCATAACCTAGGCTCGTATTGGTAATATTTACCGGCAAAACCACGTGATCGGAGCAGAATGTATAACACTTGTTCAAGTTGAATTAATAGTTGTGAATTAAAAATTGTCATATATATATTTTAATATTTCAGATGGAAGATTTACAGATGTATTTTTATTTTAACCATTTTGCCCTTCACAATGACATGCAAGGAGTTTTTGTTTTTCTTGTTATTTTAATACTATACTTAAATTATATCTTGATTTCATCTTTGATCTGGATTAATTATTTTACAGAAATATTTTATGCTTTTTTTTGCGAAGATTAGAATATTTTCATGTTTTGAGCATTAATATGAAATTGTTTTCATAAATTTTAATATATAGTCGTTGTAATAGAATGTTTATCACTGTGCTCAATTTCCTCGGTTTCTCTGAAGGTTGATATAAAAATTTTATTACCGTCAATACCCCTGAATTTATATAATGCAAGTCATTGAAATACATCACACCATAAAAAATAACGTGGAAGTGCGACTAACATTTTCACTTAAGGTGTAGGCTACATACATGTGGTGTTTTAAGATATAATACTGTAAAGGATATTTCACAAAGTAAATTAATGATTAAATTTTTGTGTAGAGGGCGAGCTATGCCTGAGGATGATTGCACCATTTGGCAATAGTAAGAGCCTAGCCCAGGGATCATCTTACCACATGCAATTAAGTTCTACAGTGTTCAGTGACCAGTTCTTGAACAAATTTTATCTTGATTGGATCTGTATACACTCTCCCTCTATGACCATGTCCCAGTAAATTCACCTTTTGATAGAACAATTCACACTTCTTGGGATTCAACTTAAGGTTCTCTTTCCTTAATCGATCAAGTACTTCTCTTAGCCCATCACAAACATCAATGAAGGTATTCCCATATATGTGTGTGTGCCCCTTAGTGGCACAGCGGTATGTCTGCGGACTTACAACGCTAGAAACCTGGTTTCGATACCCGTGGTGGGAAGAGCACAGATAGCCCATTGTGTAGCTTTGTGCTGAACTTCAAAACAAACAAACCCATACGTGTGATTATGCAATCTAAGTCGACGAGTACGACATTCCAGATTAGTCCAGAGAGAACACATTCCATTAATCGTTCAACTGCAGCAGACGAATTACATAACCAAAGTAGTAATACAACTATTTGCCATAACCTATTTCCATAATCATTCAACTGCAGCAGACTAATTACATAACCAAAGTAGTAATACAACTATTTGTCATAACTTATTTCCATAATCGTTCAACTGCAGCAGACGAATTACATAACCAAAGTAGTAATACAACTATTTGCCATAACCTATTTCCTACCGCAAATACTGTCTTTTCTCAATTTGCATCGCGACTTCATTTGCCAGTATCCACTCTTTAGATACAATGTTGAGAACCATTGTGACCCAGGTAAAGCATACAAATTAGAATTAGTCCCTGGTAATGAGTCTGCATCATTCACTGGACTTCATTCACCTTTCAGAATCCACACAAAATCTTGTGGACCTAACCTTCTTCTTCATAAGTGCAATAGGTGATGCCCAAGGTTTAGAGTGCAGTTCTGTTACTCCTCGTTCTTTCTTGGCTTCTATTTCTTTGAGAGCTTCAGCCTGTTTTGCAACTCGGATTCGTCTGGCCAGCTGATACATTGATGCTGCATCTCCAGTATCATTCTTATGAGACATTTTATTTCTTTCCAAAGTTTAGTTAACTCTTTGTTGTTCTTTAGGTTTGTTTGAGTTCTGGACCACATCCTGAGGATATCATATCCTTGCTTAATTAACATCTGTTGATTCGTCACAAGGTCAGCCATTATACCCATGTTTTCCACATTTATAAAGTTCTCTTTTTCTGTAATCTTTTGGAAGTAATTTTTATTTCTTACAAGCTTCAGTCTGCAGTTCCAAGTAATATGTTTTTATCAGTTGTAATTGAAAAACCTTGTGTCCAGTGATTTTCTTCTTCCATTCTGGATAACCAGTTATCTAACCAATGTTTTCAGGTCTTCAAGACTTATATCAGCCATCGGCAAACCCTGTTACAGTATAGGACAGAAGATTGAATGGGAGAAATACAAAATCTTCGACAAGAAATTAAACTGGAAGCTCAAGAAAATTAAAGAAGCTCTAAGAATAAAACTGGAAAGGCCAAATCTTGACAGAGATCAGGAACTAAACAATTACAGAATTTGGAACCATCTATTAAAGAAGTGTATGAACTCACTATCAATTCAACCTAACACAAACTAGCAAACAAAGAATCCCTACACCAGGACCGCAGTTCATACTGTTAGATAAAAACCCATATGAGACAACAACTCTTCAAACATGGAAAACTCAGTATGGAAACCGAAACGTTGTCACCAACAAACACAAAGGAGGAGTAATTCATAAAAAAAAATATTCTTTAAATGTTGATCACATCGTATTAAGCTACCTTGAAATAAAGATAAACATATTTAAATGTGTGTGTCCGTGTATAAATCTGGTTACAATTAACAAATACACACCCGATTGGCTGGAAGGGACAAACCTTTTCTGTAACTTTAGAGCTACAATGAACAATACGACACAAAATACCTATAAGATAATTTAAATTATATATGTAGCTGTGAAAGCTGATATAAATCGAAACAGTAATGAGCAGCTGATGATAAATTACGAATGATCAAAATAATCATAGATTCAGTTTCTTAAAATTCTCTTTGAAAGGTTGTCCACAAGATTTTGGAAGATGATATAAAAAAAAAAAAACGTTTCTTTAACAGCCTACTTTAGATCAAAGTTATTGTGAGTGAAAGATGCTTCTAATGGTGACTACTAGATGCCGCTAAACTCCACGTAAGTTATAATATTTTTATACTTTTTGACAACGGAAATTCTCTTGCATGCACTAGGTTTACGTTTCTGTTAATATTTTTTTATAGATATAAATGCATAGGCAAATTTTATTAGTTAACATTGGATAAAAAAAACATTTGGAAATAACTTTAGTTTAATGACTCTTAGATTTAATAGTTTTTTGTTTTGTTTTTCAAAACCTAATTCGCATGTTACTACTAATAAATTCGTTCTTAAAATATGCATACACACGTTTATGGCATAGATGTTGTGCCGTTATGAACTCCATTCTTATTACACAAACACATTTAAAACAAAAATATATATTTTTGATAACTATCCATACTCTTAAGTACAAGGCTATATTGTTTTTATGACTATAAATTGAAAATAAGCTCAAATGGACTTTTAGAAACAAAGGAATTATTATAAATATGGATAATTTACATGTATATTTTTGGATAATCCTGTAATCCAGCTACCTACCGCTATTTTTGAAATACTATTGTTTGATCGAATAGTGGGATTTAACCGACACACTCGAAGCGCAGGTTCGTATACCGTCACCAAACATTGTCGCCCTCTTAGCCTATAGGCGTTATAACGTTATGGTCAATCCTTTTATTCGATTAAAATAGCCCAAGAGTCGGCGGTGAGTGGTACTGACTCTGTGCCTTTCCTCCAGTCCATCACTTCTGAATTATGGTTGGTTAGCACAGATAGCACTCGCGTAGCTATGGTCAGTAGTTTTGCATCACCCTAATATTCGGCGGTGAGTGGTACTGACTAGGTGCCTTTCCTCCAGTCCATCACTTCTGAATTAGGGTTGGTTAGCACAGATAGCACTCGCGTAGTTATGGTCAGTAGTTTTGCATCACCCTAATATTATTTAATGTTGCTTCATAACGTTTATATGAGTGAAAGTACTAAGTAACGTTACGTTCATAGTATGAGGCGTAACATGCATTTACTACCTTGGCCTTCTACTTGACTCGGGAATTGTTCAACTGGCTTTTTCCCTCGGAATGGTTTTTCTGTTATCCAACTCGACTGAGGCCCCACATAGTATTTTTTAAATCTAATGGGAAATGTTGGACTTACCCATAACAACTTGCTTGACGTGACTGATCATTTTCGTTCACACAGGGGAGGCCATAACCTCTACATATCTGCCCTATTAGTGAAGGAAATTGCCATCATTTTATATATTCTTGCACAACATGCAATGTTACAGCAATATATACCGTGAATAGAGTAGGTGCTATCTTTAGAGAACAACAAGGGCAGCTAGAACGAAGTCCACGATTTTTCTGAACAACGTATTGTGCAAAATCTGCATAGATTTACAATAAAGGAATATTAAAATAAAGTCATCCAGTGTCCTACAACAAATATTCACATTGTACTTTACTCTTGTAATAAAGTTTTAATTTTGTATTACTCATTGTGGCAAGTCTGTTTATGTCTTTGCTTAAACTGGGTCAGTTCATTTAAATTCAATATTTATTACTTAGTAATTTATCCTACCAATTCTCTAATTATAAACCTACCTAATACACTTTGTGAAAGTCAGTTTCACTTGAGAAGATCATAGAATAGGTAGAAGAAAATTTTGGTACTGTAACCAGGATATTATTACAGTTTTCTGTTTTTGCTAATGCGTGTATTTCCCTTACTTGAACTTTTGAGTTAAACGAACTTAAAGAAATGCTTCTTAATAAAAATGGCATTTTCTGTATACATAAGAATTCACAACCAAGAAGAGAGTTTATTAATGGAGAAAGACAGTTGTATGAGTGAAGTAGCGAGTCTAGGAGAAATTATCTCCTGCACACAGGACTTTTAGAAATGCTGCAAAGGTGTTTGCAACTACGTAGTCAGGAAGGTCAGCTAATGTGTGGTTTATCCAGAATGGTAGATTGGGCATTGCCCCTGAGGACTGATCTTGGTGCAAAGGAAGCATGAGTTATTGACATTTGGTGAGGTGATAGGACACCTTAGTAAGTTTGAAACCATATGGATTGTTTTTTTATTCTCTGGCCATTAACAGCCAAAGTAACACTTAATACCTGATCAAGACCACTCAAGAAGGAATGGACTGCCACTAATGGATGATATCCACCAGACAGAGCATTTTCCTGGAAGGTAAGAATCAGCACCAATGAGAAGTTGGGGAATTTGCGAGCCTCCCTATGCTAGTAGGTATCCTGCCATGGCAACCAGGGATTGCAAGGACACCTGGTGTCGTGCAGAGCTTCTGCGAGTAACTCATTGCTCTGCTGCTCTGAATCAAGGACCAAGTACTCATCTGAGTACATCTACTTTCCCATACCCACAATATTGGCAGCATCTCAGGTGGACATTGGCCAAGAACCCACAAAGTGGAAGCTTTGTTCAAAACAAATTCCTTGTGAATAAAGTCATAAATTTTCCTCCTAATTTCATATGTGTGGCAAATGAAGATCTGGACCATTTTTTAAAATTTTCAGGCAAGTAACTGCTTGTAACAGTTTAACTTAGAAACAGGCAGTCCTGTACCTGATTCTGAGCTCAAAGGCTCCAGCTCTAGATTCCATAGATAATTTGGATGAGGCAAAAAAGAAGAATGGGCAACAGGTGTGGCCAAGTTGTGACACTTATTCAATCCAATGGAGAATTTAGTGCTCCATAAGGGCAAATTCAAGGCTTGGAAGAAAAGTAATATCAAGAGTCTGGCCATTTAGGTGGATGATCTGTGGCATCTACTTGGTAAAGCTTACCCTGCCATGGCTTCAGAAGATTGTGAAGAGATACTCATGGATAAGTTCATTGAAGGCCTTTCTGGAAAAATGGTATGACACCACCCGAGGGTGAAGAATATCTTCACCCCAAAAGAGGTACTTTCCATAATGACAAAATACAAAGTGGTAACTTTGAGTCAATAATTGAAGAGGAAAGAGCCTGCAGCAACGGTTGGTGTGGACAGACTGTCTTGCTCATATACCTCCATCATGCAAAGCTCAAGCCATGTCAAAGGTTAATTAGCCACCTACATATCCCAATACTGACACTAACCACACTGGTTGTCAGTGAATGGACATGGGTAACCTGGTCCTTCCACGATTTACCTGCTGAGCCTATGCTGATGATGCCTTCACCTACAATTTGTCTAGGATGGAAAGAGCAGTTCCTGGCTAAAAAGGTTAAGAAGAACCAACAGCAAATGATAAATGCTGCCACCATAGCCCCAGAAAAACAAACTAAGCTCATGCTAGGCCTGATCACTGACTTGGGAGCACAGTAAACAGCTAGCACTGTACGGTTTTGTGGCCAGCCCAGCCATCTCAGGACTGGGTGAAGCTTGACACTAACCTGTGAGGGTACAAGGGTGGGATGTCGAGTTCCTGGTTGAAAAAGGTGCAGCCAGGACACTGGTAGATCTTGCAATATATCAAGCCCTCCATGTGGGACCACCACTCACGCCATTGGATACAGACTCCATTTTGGCAAATGGCAATAGACTAGACATAAATTGAGGGTGTACTGTACCATCGCTATAAACCACTGAGTCATTATTCTCTAACTGTGCTGAAACTAGACCTCTAAGGCAAGAGATTCTATGGTCGCAGCAAAACAAAGACTGGAGGGCATTAATGTCTTATTCCCATTTGTGCTAACATTTGACAGCAATTCTTCTGGCTACAAGAGTCGAGATGTTTGGAACTGGTACAAATACTGTACGGAGTGAGGCAGGGTAAATTCCAACAGAATATTGTACACAGAATACCCCCTGGACATTGCTGGTCCACTCCTGGAGACTGGGAGAGATCATTGGTACATACTTGTCACTGACTAATTCACAAAATGTGCCACCGGTCAATACATCAGCACAGTCCATAGATGATTTGTTGGTAGAGTAGTGGATAGCATGGTTCGGATCACTGGAAGAGATCCACATAGATCAGGAAGCTAATTTAAACAGCAAGTTGTTCTTAGAGTTGTGAAGTGTTATATGTGATGAAGATGCACACGTTGCCTTACCACCCCAGTCAAATGCTTTTAGCATAATGAGGAATACAAACTACCAAGTGTATGCTCATGAAGCTTGTTGATCTTTGTCAAACTAACTGGGACAAAAATTTCTATACATTATGATGGCAAAAAACAATTCAACAGAGGTTTACAGGCTGTTTGCCAAAAAAATGAATTAACATAAATATCAAGTAAAACTATATGATTCTTTCATCATCAACTAATACTAAACTTAAATTAGGTACAAGGTAAATTTATTGAGAGAAACATTACAAGAATTCCTGTTTACAATTTTCCATATAAAGATATCTCATGAAAGGTTTACTTATGGCTTAAACACTATATTTTGTTGCCAGTAGCAAAAACTAATTTGTTTAAAACAGAAGAAAAATGTCTCAACAGAAAGCCAAGGCATCAATCTAGATGTACTAAAGGTATTTCATATTGTTTGCTCGAGTATCAATGTACCAAAACTACTTCATAATTTTTGCAAAGGCATCAATCCAAATGTGTTAAAAGCATTTTATATATTTTGCCAAGACATCAATACCAAAGTGACAAGAGTATTTTATTATACAGGATGGTCCAAAACT